TGACGTTCTGGTGCTGCTGACTAGATTGGCTGGCTGAGAGCTGAACGTGCAGCCGAGGAGCACTTGATTGAAACTGCATCATTACTACAGCTCTATTTTGTAAACTTTCAGCCAACTACTGGACTACCAAAAGTGGCTCATCAGCTTTTGCAAACAAAGAAGATGAAAGAGAAAAGAGAAATGAATGTGAATCAAGTGAAAGAGGTTAGCTGCTGCTGCTGCAGGTAGCACTGCTGTGTGTTGATGCTGCCCACAAAGTGATCTCAGTTTACTACTGCCACTGCTGCTGCTGCTGCAAAAACATTTCAGAGTGTGCTGTTGTTGACAAACCGACGGCGACACACAGACATAGAGAATGTGAATGCGAGAGCAGCGTATTCAGTTAATTTAGCTCGTAGAGGGCAGCGCCCGTCTCTTTCTGCCCAGCTTCAAAGGTTTCCATTGGAGAGAGTAACTGCGAGGGTGGGCAGCGGTGCACCCTTTGCCGCCACTGCAGAAAAAAATAACAGCAGCAGCAGCCAATGTACATTTAGTCTTTGTGACTGTGCTGTGATACAACTGGTAACATCTCATGGGCAATTTCAGCTGAAGCAAACTCATTTGCCTGAGATTGAAAACTTTTGCTTTGAATGTTTTACTTTTTGCTACCTATGCAGCAGCAGCAGCAGCAGCTAGTGATCCTGGTAGTGCTGGAGGTGCATCGAGTGTTCAAGTGGCAATGATGATGATGATGATGATGTGAAAGTCTTGTTTGTGTGTTTGTGCTAGCTGCTGCACGTGTGTTTGTGTGTCTGACTGCTGCTGTTTGTTTCTGTCTGTCTCAGTCCCAGTGTCAGCTTGTTGGCTGCAATGTACATTTTTGCTGTACAGTCTCGACACACTTGTACGTACGACAGTGTGCAGTGTGCAATGATGGCCGCAGCAACAGCTCTCCAGCTCTTTTTCTCTCTTTCTCCGCTCATTAATCACGACCACTGATCGCAATGTGAAACATAAACGATAAACTTGATGAAAAGTAACGAAGCAAATAATCATTTACTTCAGTTGCTGCTGAAACGAAGCTTGATAGATGGTAGAAGTACAAGCGTTGAAATCTGTCGCTCAACTTTTGCTAAAAGACGCATTTCAGAGTAAGAATTTAATGTCATAGGTAATTTATGTAAATTTTCCGCAATTTAAGTTTGCTCAAACTGTAAGCTGTTATCATTGTTGTTATTTCTGCCTATCTCGTTTTCTCTTTTTGTACTTTTTGTTTCTGTACAATCACACTTTTTTATTTTAATTGTACTTTGTTTTGTTCGTACCACTCATTACTGTTTGTTTCTCCTCTTTTTTCTCTTTTTATTTTGTTCATTTTCATTTGCATTGTTCTACACAACAACAAAGAGGAGAACTTTCTTGTCATTTTCCCTTTTCTATATTATCTCCTTTCACAAGTTTCACAACTTTGCTTGCCTTCCACTGAACTGTCTGTCTGTCTAGCACATTTTTCACCGTCTGTCTGTCACCCTGCACTTTTTCTTCTTATCATCTTCATTTCCACCACCGCCACAGCCATCACAGTTACCTATCTAAACGTTTTTTTAACAGGATTTCGTTTTTACTTCTGACGCCTTTCTATTTTTGTTGCTGCCGTTTTGTTGCTCATGTAAAAAGTCCTTCTTTTCTGAAGAACAACACCCTTGCCCCTTCATTTGAGGACGCTGGACACATCAGTCTAAATTCTCGAATTGCCGAACACCCTTTTACCATTTTCAAATTATAAGCTCATCTGCGACAATCACGTAAGTTTTGATGAACTTTTATTATTTTATTTGCCTATGCCAAACAAAACCATGTTAATTTTTAAATTTTATAAAATTGAGATTTGCCTGTTTTTTGCAACGCAAATTTAGCAAAACAACTTTAGAAACACACCTTTTTTGTTTAATTATGAAAATGTAATAACTTTATTGTTTAACTCGTTATTAGCATTTTAATGTGTTTGTTTTTGTCAGTGTTTTATTACAACAGCAGCATAGTTTTTGCAAAAATGACCTTCACTAGTGAGCGCGCACACGTTTTGTCGCCTCTTTTTTAGTTTAAATATAGTTAAAAATAAATGTAAAATAAAACAGTGTTTGCGAATAAATTACAGCAAAAATTTGAGAAATATAAAACATTGATTAAATCAAAGAACAAGAAAGAATTTTGTTGAAAAGTGCCAATAAAAAGACTGAATCGTAAATAACAAATTTCAATTCAAAAAACTTTGAAAAAACTTATTTTGTACTTTTGTACGCAAAGTAAATGATCAAAATCAAATGAAAAGCAGCTACAATCGATGTGAAGCTTTCCAAAACACCCTTTCCAATTTCTATTTTTTCTAAATCTGAGTAAGTTTTTTTGTCTAACACACCGCTGCGCATCATTCCATAATCATTTGAAAATGAATTTACAATGAAACCAGCTGAAAAAACAGCCGTAATCAAGCTTTCTTGGTAAATTAGACTGATGACCATGAGCACGTAAATGCTTATCTTCAACAGGGCTAAACCATGAAGAAGTTTGTCAAACATCTAGAGCAGTAAAAATAAAAAAGTTAAATTTTAAAACTGTTTTAAAATAACAAATATTCTTTTAATTACCTTGATAAAAGGTTTAGTACATTTACATCTATTTAGAAAACCGTTTTCTAATTCAGCAAAATCATTTTCAATAGAAAAAACGTAGCCAATTTTTATAACAATGATGACCAAAATTAAAGCGACGTAAATCTTAGAGATGATGCCAAATGAGCGAACTGAAAAGTCGTCTTTATCCAAAGTTGGTACCAAAGTTGGTTTGTTTAACTTAGTTTTTGATTTGCCCATTTTGATTTGTTGAAAATGAGAATCAAAATATATTATAAATATATTTAAAATTATTTCTATTTATACTTTTAAAATCAAATTATTTAAGCCTAATTAGCAAAATCAACAATTGCAAAACAAAGTGATACTATCAAAACATTGCAAATTGTAATTAATTAATTTTTTAAATAAACAAAATGAGTTAATTAGTAAAATTCAAATATTTTATTATATTGTTTAATCTATTAAATACAAAAATAATACAATTAAAAACAAATATTAATTACAAATTTAATAATAACAATGTGACAATTTGTTTTTAAAACAAGTTTATTTGTGTTTTAAAATTTTGTTTAAAAATTTTTTAATTAACAAAAAAAATAAAAATAACTTTTAGGAAAAGTTTGCATTTTAATTTAATGTAATCTGGCAAAGATATAAAATTTAGGTTAATTGAAACATTGAAAAACAAATTTTCTTGAAACTTTAAAATCAATCAGTTACAGCTTATGCAACGTAGCCTAATAAAAACTTTTTAAATTAAAATTTTTACATTTTATAAAAAGTTTGTTGGAAAAAATATAAAGCAATCTACTGTCATTTCCATACATTTATGTTTTTGTTTTTTGCCAATCAATTCTGTTATGTGTTAGGTTGGGTAACCATTATTTATAATAGTGGTAGTAGTAGTGGTAATTGTACTTTAGGTACCTTTTGGAAGTAGTGGTCGCCGTGAAAAGCAGAATTTAAATCAAGTTTACCTATACAATGTGCGCATTATTTTCTGAGAACCTCAGTCCTGTGTTTTGCAGTCGTTTTTCCCTTCAACACTCACTTTTAACTTTTCAATTTTCAACGGTGTTGAAATATAAAAGCAGGAATCTACTTCAGTGCACCTTTCAGTCTGACAACGGCATACACTAGTTTTATTAAAACAAAATCAAATTTTTAATTTTTACGCTGTGATCTTATAATAAAATTTTTATTATACATAAATTTTTCATTTTACGCAATTTTAATCTAACGTTTTCAAAAATCTTCATGTTTGTTAATTTTAAAAAATTGTAAACTTATTACTGGGAAAATTTGAAAACAAACAAACTAATAACATGGAGCCATAATATGGGTTCTTGTCATACTAGTCTAAAAACAAGCAACAGCGTCACTCCAAACGGCACCTCAACAGCAACAACAACGACAAACGGCATACGAATCGTCGAGACAGTACCCGCACCCGAAACAACTTTGGAAAACACCGACACAGACAGCAGCATTGAATCCTCCATTGCCACTCTTGAACTTGGTGGAGCACTACCTGACAAGTTAGACAGATTGGACAATTACCTATTGCCTTCAGGTGAAAAAGAAAGTAAAAACAGTCAACTTTTTCGGCAGACGACTTTGAAAGAAGAGGAAGAAGAAGAGGAAGAAGAAGAAGAAGAAGAAGAAGAGGGCGAAACAGCTTCAACCGTTTCAGCCAACAACAACAACAACAGCAGCAACGAACAGAAACGCCTCAACGACTACTACTTTGGCAGTCAAAAAGGTTGAACTGTGAAAACTACAATTTAATTTCTCTTTTGATTCATTTTAAAACTTGTTTGCAATCAAACAAAAAATTAGAGCTAGACAAAATAATTTCATTAAAATAGCTTGATGATGATAAATAGAATCAGCCACTCTGCTTCAGTGAATCCCAGCTCTGACTTTGCTAGAAACACCAGTTTAAATCGCCACAATGTGTTGAACCACCACACTGTCACTAATCACTAATCTAATTAAACTAATTAAGCCTTTCCATCGTTGTTCCACTTTTTTTACCTCCTAGCAGACGCATCAGCATCCGATCAGTCCCCAGCAGCACTACCACCACTACAACCAGACAACAACAACAGCATCAACAGCATCAGCAGCATGAAGTCCACCGATGGTAAGCCCAGCCTGGAGCGGCAGTCCTGGAGCCGAATGGGTCGCGAGGCGCCCCTCGAGCCGATTCGTCCGGCGCCAGGAACCGCACCTTCTGGTGGCGCCCTGTCGCGCCTCAGCGAGGCCTCCGCCAGTCGACGTTCGGCGTCAGTCGAGTCCACTGAAAATCTAGGCCGTGAGCGAACCGAGTCGCTGGACCCTTCGCTGGAGGCGTTGCGCATGATTCGCGACTCGCTCAACTACAGCAACACCGGCGACCATCACACCTTCTTCGTCATGGGCGCCTCGGTAAGAAGACGCTCTTTTTTCGCTGAAAAGTGATCTTTTTATTATAATATTTTTTTTATTTGTTTTTAAACTTCAATGAAACTACTATTTAGGGCGATCTGGCCAAGAAGAAGATCTACCCGACGTTGTGGTAAGTGTGTACAGTGTCAGTTTTTAGCCTCCGTTTGTTTTAGCCAGAAAGTTGGCCGCTGTTGCCACTTTTTCTGCTTCTGCAGTCGCTGCTGGTCTAAGTGTACTTTACATTTTTATTGAACGGTGTTTTAGTTAGTTTGTGTTAAAGAAAAATGGGGGGAGAAGAAAATGGGATTTGGAACAGGATATTCAGTTTGTGCAGTTTGTGTTTTGAGTGTCAACCTTTTGTGTTTGTGTATGAGTACGTCTGCTTGTGTGATTGAAACCAAGCCAACCAGACGGATCGATGACAGTTGAAAACAAAAGGAGAAAGAGAGAGAGAGAGAGAGGAGGAGGAGGCAAATTATTGAGAATTATTGAGAATTAGTGCAGGGGCTGAAGGTCGTCATTAAAAATAACTGAATACATATAAAGAAAAAAAGGGATTGTGACAGATAAAGTTTGCCCACAGTTCATTTGTGTGCGCTTGAATGTTTAATTAGCCATTAGTCAATTCTGAAAATAATTTTTGAAACTGCTCTTTAGAAAGCAATTTGTAAAAGGGGACATTTTGCAATTAACTTGGTTTTAACAATAATTTGTTAAATTTAAAAAACAATAAAAACTTTTTTGCAAAAATTGGAAATACAGTTGGCTACAGCAAATATGTTAGTCAAAAACAAAAAAAAAATGCAATAAACTCAATAATTCATTATCTAGAGTTTTCTAAAAAGAATGAAAACAAAAACAGACAAACATTAGAAGGACAGGAAATCAGGAATTAGGCAAAGGCAGCAACAACAAATACTAGCAACTAGACAGCAGTGATCTCTGATCCTCAGTTTTAATTAAAATGGCAAACGCTTTTTTGCATCATCAAAACTACTGCTACAACCACTGCCATTTTTACTACTACTATTCAGGACCATCTTCCGCGATGACCTCATTCCCCGGAAGACCGTCTTCGTTGGCTACGCCCGGTCGGCGCTCTCCGTGGCGGACCTCTTCGCCGGCATCACGCCCTACATTCGCCTCGATTCGGAGGATGAGCGGCAGCTCTTTGAGGACTTCCAGCGGCAGAATGTCTACGTGCAGGGCTCGTACGACCAGGCGGCAGACTTTGCCCGACTGGCCGCCACGGTGGCCGATCTGGAGGGAGGAAGTGGAAGTGGAAGTGGTGGTGAAGGTCGAGCCAATCGACTCTTCTATCTGGCCTTGCCGCCGACGGTCTTCGCACCGGTCACCAAGCTGATCAAGGAGCAGGTGATGACTGATCGGTAAGCTTAAGCTCAAGAATGCTACTGTTCAGACAGAGCAAATTAAGTTAAAACCCCTTTGCTTTTTTTGACCGTTTTTAGCGGCTGGAATCGGGTCATCATTGAGAAGCCCTTTGGACGCGACGCCGCCAGCAGCGCCGCCCTGTCCGCCCATCTGTCGGGTCTGTTTCGCGAGGAGGAGATGTACCGCATTGACCACTACCTGGGCAAGGAGATGGTGCAGAACTTGATGATTCTCCGTTTTGGAAATCGCATCTTCGGGCCAATTTGGAACCGCGAGAATGTCGCCTGCGTCCAGGTGACCTTCAAGGAGCCCTTTGGAACGCAGGGCCGCGGCGGGTACTTTGACACCTTTGGCATTATACGCGATGTGATGCAGAACCACCTGCTGCAGATACTGTCGCTGGTGGCGATGGAGAAGCCGGTGACGCCCAATGCGGAGGACATTCGAGATGAGAAGGTTTGGAGGAAAAGAAGTTTTCGTATTGGAAGCATCAAGACTAACTTCAATTTGTTGTGTGCTTTCTGTTCCCCAGGTCAAAGTGCTGAAGTGCATGAAGGAGCTAAAGTTGGAGGACGTCGTCCTGGGCCAGTACATCGGCAATCCAAAGGGCAAAACCGAGGACAGCCAGCTGGGCTACACTGACGATCCGACGGTGCCCGCCGGCTCGGTGACGCCCACCTTTGCGCTGGCCAAGTGCTCCATCAGCAATGAACGCTGGGACGGGGTGCCCTTCTTTTTGCGCTGTGGTAAGCTGTGGATGTGTGATCAAACGTGGCAAATCCACTGAGCTGTTTATTCACTCCAATTTATATTGTAGGCAAAGCCCTGAACGAGCGCAAGGCGGAAATTCGCATCCAGTTTCGCGACGTGGCCGGCGACATCTTCGCCGGACAGTGCCAGCGAAATGAGCTGGTAATTCGCGTTCAGCCCGGTGAGGCGGTGTACGTCAAGTTCATGACCAAGGAGCCGGGCATGACCTTCCGACTGGAGGAGACCGAACTTGATCTGACCTACACTAACCGCTACAAGGTACAACCCCCCTCCCCCCCCCTTTTTTTGCTTCAGACTAGCCTAAAACTGTTCAACTTTTCAATCAAATTTTGCACTCTACTCCTCTAGGAGGCAATCCTGCCGGACGCCTACGAGCGCCTGATCATGGACGTCTTCAGCGGCTCGCAGATGCACTTTGTGCGCACTGATGAGCTGCGCGAGGCGTGGCGCGTCTTCACGCCCCTCCTGCATGAGATCGAGGAGAAGAAGGTGGTGCCGCTGCCGTACTACTACGGCAGTCGAGGACCGCGCCAGGCGGACGACTTCTGCGTCGCCAATGGCTACAAGTTCACCGGGACGTACCAGTGGAAGAAGCCGACCACTGCTGCTGGGGCGGGGGGCAATTCAAAGTAATCAGAGCAAGAGTTAATGCAAATGACAGTTGACATTTGGAAAACAAAAAGATTGGAATCAAGATTAAATAACTGTTTTCAAAATTTAATTAAAGCTACACTGGCACGATTTAACAAATACCCATATAACCACTATTTCTGCTTTCCGCACCGCCTCCACACACGAAACACTGACATGCAAACATTGCCCCTAGTTTTACCACTGTTATTATCTTTTTGTTTTAAAAAGTTTTATTATTTTTCTGTTTACTGCAAAATTGATTTTGTGGATCTTTGTCACTGTTGTCGCTGCGACTTTTTCAATTTTTAGTAAGTGCAAAAGAAAAACAATATTAAAATGCCACTGGACAGTTTGGCCTGGCTGGGTCCTAGCATTTTATTGCTTTTTCTCTTTCTCCCGTTCTTCAAAAAAACCTGTTTTTCCCCGTCTTTTCAGTAGAACAGGACAGTTTTGGAGAGTAGAACGCACTTCAGCAGCAGCAGGGCGGCGGCGATTTCTACTGCCATGGTCACTGCTGCTGCTGTTGCTGCTGTTGAAATCGCCTCACTGCTGAGAAATTCCTTTGTGTGGCAGTGCTCCCTCTGTCTCTCAGTGGACAGACAGAGAAAGGCAAAGCGACTAATCAGTTGGTGTGCCTTTGTCAACTTCAACGTTGGCCAACAGAGGCTCCTTCTTATCAAAACCTAATCACGCAATGTCCACTGCGGCTGCATCGTCTTCAGCTGATGCTGCCCCTGCTGCTGCTGATAATGTCACTGGTCGCGGTGGTGGTGGTCGTCGTCGTAATGACCAAAACATTGCTCGTAATGGTAATCTGCTTTCCTTTGTGTACTATCACGTACTGCTTTGCTTTCACTGTTTTTACTCAACTCTTAATCTTGTCTTGTTTTATTAATTATTGTCTCTTCTTCAGCAGCTCTTCCACGGCCAGCAGCATTGATTGCCTNCGGTGGTGGTGGTCGTCGTCGTAATGACCAAAACATTGCTCGTAATGGTAATCTGCTTTCCTCTGTGTACTATCACGTACTGTTTTGCTTTCACTGTTTTTACTCAACTTTTAATCTTGTCTTGTTTCATTAATTATTGCCTCTTCTTCAGCAGCTCTTCCACGGCCAGCAGCATTGGTTGCCACTGGTGCAGTGTTAGCTGCCCCTAATCGATCTCCACGTTTGCCTGCTCCTTTGGAAAACGAAGAAGAAGAAGAAGAAGAAGTGAACGAGTACAATGAAGAGGGCCGATTTGACGAAATGCCTTTCAATCTTTTGCCGACTAATACAATCAAATTAAGTGGCGCGAATCAAACCGCTGCTGCTGCTGGTGGTGGTGATGGTAATGGTAGAAATCTTCGTGTGTCAAATGACCACTACCAGCGTCTATCTCCCAACGGGCCAATCGAAGTAATTGATCTCGTCAGCGACTCTGACTCCGAGACGGATTCTGATTCTGATGAGGGAGAACAAAACAACAACAATGCCACAGTGAACCGACTTTCCATCGCTTCAAACAACAGCAATCAAAGAGGTCAGTACACTGTAAATGTTGTATTGCAACAAATTCTGTTTGCTGAAGTATTCAATTGTTTTGTTGTTAATCCTCTACTTTTTTAGCTGTTTCAAACAATAACAACAATGGCAGCAACAACAGCCGCAGCAGCAGCAGCAGCAACAACAACAACAACATCCGCAACAATGGCAAAAACGTTGCTGCGAAGCAGCATCGACCAGCCGCTCCTCGAACAGTTCCATCGCTAACCAGTCAAACAGTACCTAAAACGATCTCTTCAGCAACAGCAAATCCACGTCTATCCACTTCTACTTCTTCTTATTTCTCTTGTTCATCATCCTCATCAACATCATCATCATCCTCTTCAGAAGATCAGTCTGTTGTTTTGGGCAACAGTGGTGGTGGTGGTAGTGGTGGTGCTCGTGGTCGTATTCCCAAACCAGTAGCTTTTAATTCTTCAGCTGGTACTTTTCTCACAGCCTCCTCCTCCTCTTCCTCTTTATCCACTTCAAAGCACTCTGCACCAAAACGAAAGCAAAAGAGTCTCTCCTCAAAAGGGCCCAAAACAGCAAAGGTACCAAAGCGAACCAGAGCTGCTGCCGCACGAAACCCCACTCAAGTGACTCCAAAGTTTACGTGTAGCTGTTCGGTGTGCTTTAAAGGATTTAAGTTTCCTTCAGGGCTTTCCATTCATCTGCAAAATAACTTCCACTGCAACAAAACACATCGAGAGAGATCTGAGGCGGCAGCGGTAGCAGCAGCAGCAGCAGCAACAACAACAGCAGCAGCAGCTGTTGCCACCCAGGTGGCTCCGCCGTCGCCTCCGCCGTCGCAACAGCCGCCGCCGCCGCCCTCGTCACCTGAGCCCCAGGGTCCGCCCTACATTTGCCGACACTGCGTGCGCGATTTTAGCAGAAAGTGCAGCCTGTTGGAGCACCAACGACGACTTCACAAGGCTCCCCAAGTATCAGCCTCTCATTTGGAGGATCGCCACGTTGCGCAGGAGGGCTCTCAGCCCCAGCCCCAGCTGCAGCAGTTGCAGCCCCAGCCCCAGCTGCAGCAGTTGCAGCCTCAACCCCGACAAGAATGTACCATTTGTCGATTGACCTTTAAGAACAGCCATGGCTTGAGTATTCACTCCTCAAAAGTACACCGAACGAGACGTGGTCAGCAGCAGCAGCAGCAGCAAAAGCCAAAAAACGTCCGTGTAAATGTTGTTCGACCGAAGGCAAAGAGCAGCAGCAACAACAACATCGGCATTTCGACTGAGAATAACGTTGAAGGGAATGATGATGATGATAGCGACGATGATGATGATGATGATGGCTGTGATGGTTTCATTGATGCCATCACTAACCGCAGCAACCCAGGAGGTAAAAAAAGGCTGATAATGAAGAAAGCGATTAGTGAAAATCAGTCAGCCCTGGCTGGACTGAACATGAGTAGCCTAAAGAGTTTACCACTTCTTCTTTTTCCCCCTTCTCTTTTCTTCAAACCCCCTCCTCCTTTAGTTCGCCTGGAGTCATCGGCGGAGCGGCTGAAGGTCACCTCGACGGTGAAGGTGGGCGACACGGT